CAGTACAACATAAATGACACTGAGCAAACTGTGAAACGATATACAAAAATATGGAAAAATATATAAGACTCAAGTAGACAAGCAGAGCCAGTGTGCCAACTTCACACGTATTTCTCTCTATATATAATTTATAATTGTGTGAAAGCAAATAAGTATGTATACATGTATATTTACCCATATAAACCATAATTACAGAAGTATAGAGACCATGTGGCTTCGCACAACTGAATCTCTATCAAATCTTGAAATCCAGAGTGCATGGCAAGGCAGAAGCCCGGGAAGGATGAATGAGAATCCCACAAGAACAGACTAAAACAGGACTCTGTCTTTACTGCTTTCTGTCTTGATGTCTTCCTAGCATTTCTCTTCCTGTGATAAAACACAATGACCAGAAGCAGCTTGGAGAGGAAACCATTCATTTTACACTTCCGCATCCACAGCTCATCATCAAAGTCAGGACAAGAACTCCAACCAGGCAGCAACCTGGAGGCAGGAGCTGATGCAGAGGCCATGGAGGAGAGCTGCTCACTGACTTGTTCCTCAAGGCTTCCTTGAACTCCATTCTTACAGAATCCAGAGCACCACCCACAATGGGCTGAGCCCTCCCACAAAATCACCAATTAAGAAAATGCCCTACAGGCTTGTCTACAGCCCAATTTTATGGAATAAATTTCTCAGTTGAAGTTCCCTCCAAGCAGATGGCTCTAGATTGTGTCCAGTTGACATGAAATTAGCCTGCACACTTGGTAACAAAGGGATTCTATAGATCTGAAGTAACTTTGCCATGTAGCTAAATGCACACAGTTGGCACAGGAAGTGATGCAAGACCCCAGAAGCTGACCCCTGATCAAGGGAAAAGGGCAACATTTGTAGACCCGGCTACAGCTTCGTTCTAATGAGGTAAATGACCGATATACTCCCTGCATTCTCACCCCCTCTGGAGGGCCACACTCCTTTTTAGAGGACTCCCACTTGATTAAATCAGAACTATCCGGCTTCGTCTCCCTTCTGGTTAACGCAAAATCAACTCATTTGGGACTTTACATCTGGATAACCCCTTCAGAGCAACATACAGCTAGTGCTTGAGTTCCTGGAACCAGGAGTGTTCAGACTCTGAAGTGCAGCTGCCCCCACCAGCACTCCAACTTGGGGGCTGTCCTTTGAAGCCCGCCTGAGCCAGAAACACACTTGAAAGGGAATTTTAGAGAGCGTAGTTCACTACAGCCAAGACGACACTCACAAAGCCAGCCTGGATACCAATAAAAATGGTTTCTATCCTTGGCAACAAAATAAACAGCTTCCCGTACAGATGGTGAAGGTAGACCAGGGGCATTCTCTGTGCTATTTTCTCCCCATGAGCCTGTTCTGTCTGGCCAGCAGCATGCCGACGTGGTTAACTGTGTCCTGTGGATGTGGTGTACATGAGGGAGACTTGCCTCCCCACACCCCTGCTGACAGATCACCCTGAGCACCGCCAGAAAGATGACTTAGCACACTACGGCAAGGTTCTGACAGAGAACGATGGGGCTGACATATCATCACAGCTGTACCTCTGTTTTGGACAAAAGGTACCTTTATTTTTATTCTTTCAAATGCCATCCAGGCTGATCCTGCTGTCTTCGTGTCTCTCCCCTTAGGCTTCTGCTTTGAAGAGCAGGAGGAAGGCTTGTGTTTGAGGGCATCTTCTCACTGCTTCTTCACTCTTCTCCATTAGACAGCAGACAGGTTTACAGACAGGAAGGCTGGAACTAGGTAAGGAATTTGTCTTCAGTGTAGTTCCCAGACAAATTCCCTAAATAGAGAGACTTCAGGTATTTCTCAGTAACTCAGTTACTAGCTGAAGAAAGCTTAAATAAATTTGTTTAAATTTAAACACTTTAAATTTAATAAAACACATTTAATAAAATTCTTTAAACAGTATAAAGTCCAAGAATCCAGACGGACGTGTAGATTAATGTGTTGCCCATCTCCCTAGCATTGAAGGTCATTTCCCAAGCCCCAGCTCCCAGCCTTCACCAACAGTTCACAGTTCTGCACCTGAAGAGAACTGGGAGTGACATGAGGGGACACAGCCCACAGTGCGGGTCTTGCTGTTACTCCCTCACAGACTTTGTTTTCCTGCTACGGCAGAACCATGGCCTTGTTCTGATGCCTTGTCTCTTCAAACTGTCATGCTTATCTTCTAACTGATGCTTTGCTTCAATCTCAGTATCTACAAAGATAGACTGTTGACTTTTCCTTCCTGCCAGTCTCTCTGTGGGTTATTCACACCCTCTGAATAGAGACTATGGTAATTAGCGTAGTTTCTTTTGTGATTAGATCTCCTGAAAGTACTGCCATTATTACACCTTCTTAACTTCTTTTGCTCAAAATAGCAGCCACAGTGCTGGTCCACACTCGCACTTGTGAGTCAGCCTCACCCTGGCCGCTCAGGTAGGACTATTAAATATTTGTATGTGATAATTTTTAACATGTGATCTTTTCATATATCTTCATTTTAAAAACCACAAAAGAAGTAGAATGACTTTCAACAAAAGCCTAACGCCACTGTGCTGACAAACAGAGTTCCTGGGGCCCTTAAGGAAGCAATCATGGGTACTGGATAGAGTACAATTTAGAGTGTACAAGGGCCTCCCACTTTCTTTGTTTCTATTTTGTGAAAGAGAGGAAAGAAGAAGAGAGAGAAAGAGGGAGAGAGAGAAAGAGGCAGAGAGAAAAAGGAGAGAGAGAAAGAGGGAAAGGAATCTTTGCTATTTGCCCAAGATGACCTCAAATTCAAAACCGTCCTGCCTGAGTCCCACAATGGCTAAGATTACAAGTGCACACCACTCTACCTTGCTCTCTTGAACATTTTTAAACATACAGTTAGTGGTAGTTTGAAGGAGAAATGTTCCCCATAGGCTCATGTAGTTGACTACCCGGTTCCCTGTTGGTGGTACTGTTTGGAGAGGCTAAAGAACTTTTAGGACATGGAATCTTGCTGGAGGAAGTATGTCACTGGGAATGGGCTTTGAAAATTTATAGATCACCCCACTTCCAGTTTGCTCTCTACTATCTTTGAGTGGTTGAGATGTGATGTCTCCGCTTCCCGCTTCAGGCGCCTGCTGCCATGTTCCTCCACCACTATGGACTTTCTTCTGGAACTGTATATGGAAATCAGCTCTTTCTCCTTAAGCTGTCTTTTGTCATGGTGTTTTTATCACAGCAATATAAAACAAGGAGCACACACTATTAGACCAGAAATTGTTCTAAGAATAAAGAAAACTATGATTTTGTATATCTATAGCATATGTGTCCAAACACATGTGTGTGGTCCTTTTAGTTTTCACATCCCAGAGTGTGAATCAAGAAATTATCAAATGATCACAGTCAGCGATGATAGCCCACAGAAATGAAGGTGCTTCACTCTGTCCTGAAATGTTAGAGAGGGGCATTGCAGGAAATGAACTTCAGGTGACTCCTGAGAAGTAGTCAGAATGAATTCATCAGGCAGAGTAGGGGCAAGAAAGCCTTTCCAAGTGGACAGAACAGAGACATAGAACAATGCGGCGTGCTGAGATCCCGCATGGATTTCTGTATTGCTAGCTTGTAGGCTGGGTCCGGGAGCAATAGTGAGCAAGAAGTCTGAAAAGTTAGAGAATTATTAACTCGTAATGTCCTTTCTAAGACTTTATCCTTCAGAAGATGGAGCACTTGTGGGGTATTCTAAACTATGGGGTGACATGAATTTGTTTGAGTTTGCACAAGTCTGTGCAGAGGAGGGGATGGAGAACAGTTAGGAAATTCCTGAAGACTTTGAACAAAAGGTATTTGAAAAATCTATAGAAGATGATTGCAAAAGAAACAGAATGGAACATGGAATGCCAGGAGAGTATCTCTGACATTTCTATCCTATGTGAGACCCCCTCAGAAGCCTTGTCAGTTCTCAGGATTCTCATAAGTCAGATGCAGATAATAATCCTGTGTCTCTGATCAACAGTCCCTCTGGCAATCCTGCTCTCCTCCTTTCCTTTTTACAGATGTTAATTTGCAGCTGGATCATTGTCCAAGAGAACCCAGCCTTTAACACGGAAATCAAGAGAGACAAGAAGCAATTAACCACAGAAACCAGTTAGAAATGGAGTTGAGGGAGATGAAGGAACCTCAGTAGATTCCATGTTCCAATTGGTCTTTGGTTGAGTGTTATGAAACCAGTCCAAATATATCACATCATAGGTGTCATGTTTTGAGGATGAAACAGTGGGTTTCATTTAAAGGTCCTGTGAGACATTGTCAGACAAACATTCATGATGTAGTTGTCTGGAGGAACATAGATAAGAGTTAGGCTAGAGAATAGACTTTACTGTCCATAAACTATAAGGATAGTAGCTAATGAATCAGCAGAGCACAAAAATAAGTAAAGCAATATAAGAAAATTAAGAGTAACTGATTTCTAGACAGCAGCCTCAATTTCTATGTTACTATGTACTGGTGGTGCTTCTCTCTTGGTAACAGTCTTTTGTTTGATGGAAGCATCCTTGTTGGATGGTAAGGACACCGAGAGAAGGATCTCATTTTTCTGCCTTTAAGCACATGAAGGGAAGGCTAAATAGAATAGGGTTGAGGGAAATCAAATGGACGGGGTTAGCATCTCAGTGCAGCTCGGGGCCTTAAGTTCTCTCTAAGTGGGACGGGGTTGCACTGAAGACTTTGGGGCCAGGCAGTCTTCATTCTGATACTTAGTTCATTGTAGATGGTGTAGGAGACAAGCTCCAACCTGTCGAAGGGAGGGGAGGAGTGAGGAATGAGGAAGTATTAGATAGAAATATAGATGGAGATGAGGGACAAGAAAGAAAGACACAGGATAGCTTTGGGAGCTGCCTCAACTTTATTCATGATGGGCTTTTTATCCATCAGCAAGGGGAGGAGCAAAAGACCGCCCCCTTTCAAGATGAAAGCACAACATACAACCAAGTGGAGACCCTTCAAAACACCTGGTAACCAGACCTTTGGCCAAATCATCCCATTGTGCAGCCCTTCTGGGTAAAACAAGCTCAGACCTTACTAGGGAGCCTCTGTGGGCCCCTACAAGATGGGTCTTGAATTTTTAAGTTAGATTTATTTATTTATTTATTTATTCATTTATTTATTGCTGTTTGTGCGCATATGTGAGAAAGAGAAAGAGAGGGTGGTCATGTGGCACACTATGTGTGTGGAAGTCAAAGGATGATTTTTAGGAGTCAGTTCTCTCCTTTCAACATGTGGGTTCCAAGGCTCACACACAGCTCATCAGTTTCGGTGGCAAGTACATTTACATAAAGTTATCAGACAATGACAAGATTGTATGTAAAGTTTCTTCTTATACTTTGCCCTGGCTCTTTAGAAAGCCTTCCTTTTCTATGAATGGGCCTTCCAGTTCAGAGCGATCAACACACAGTAGTCTCAAGTGACTCTCTCAGTGACTTTTAAGGATCCTCACAACCAGAAGGACCTCTCAGAGGATCAGCAACAGTGCCTAATACCAGCTTATGGATTCCTTATTATGTCTTTACACATGAATAAAACAAGTTAGACCTATTACACAGCTATTTCTTCCCATTGGTAACTGATCTTTAAGAAATCATGCAAATCCCAAACTTACCTTAGCAGCTGCCTTAGTGCAGCCATGCAACTATTCTGCACTCATCCAAAACACCTTTGCAATTCGAGAACTACACAAAGTCCAAAATTAGAATGTAGTCAGTCCGAAACATCCCTGACAAGTATTATGCCAGAGCAATTTGATGTCTAGACTTCTTGTTTCAGTCAGGAGATTAACTGGCTTATCTTAACCCCAAGGGCAGCCTTTGGCTCACATCCAAGTAGTCCGTAGTTCTCAGGTTGGCCCCTGGCAGATCAAGCCATCAGCCACTTGCCTAATCCCACCATCATACGCAGAATTACAGAACAGGACTTTTTCAGGCAATTTTAGATGTCATTGTGGTTTTTTTAATATATCATTTTAAAAGGCAAACAAACTAAATAGTGGTTAATTTTTTCAGAAAAAAATGGTATGCCTTGTAGAAACATCACATTGTTTTCTTTAAACTTATAATGAAAACTTGTATACATACAATAACTTTAGGAATCATGATTTACAAGACATTAACCTCTTTTTCAGCTGGTGCAATGTCTCAGCTAATAAAACATTTACTGCACAAAACTGTAGATCTTAGTTTGATCCCAGAAATCTTTGTGAAGGGAGAAGGACAGAGCAATTTACAAGGTTGTCTTCTCACTTCCACATGTGTGTGATGATCCTGTATCCACAGACACAGACACAGACACACACACCCACAGACACATCAACAACAGGAATTTAGAGCTAACCTATTCTGGAAAACCCAAATACTTTCCTGTTCCTGCATTAATAACTACACTCTTCTTCGACATCATTTTCCTTTCTTGAGTGGGCCAAAATGATTTCAGTGTCCTGCAAAAAGTTCAAACTATTAAGCCATAAGCTTCCATACTAGAGAACTATTATTTGGATCTGCTCAGGGAAATAAACTCTTTTACTATATATAGCTCTAGCTGGGCTCAACTTCAGTATCTTCTTGCCTCAGCTCTCTGGATGCTGGGATTATAGTGTGCGTCAACACCCATTTCTGTTCAGAACTTCTTTAGCCATTTTGAATAATTTCTCTGAACCAGCAAGCTTTAACTTTATCACCTCATAATGGCTGATTATGCACAAATCCACACTAATACATATTCTCAGAAGCAACCTTACTTACAACATCAGGATACGTTAATTAATATTTTTGGACCTGTAGAAATTGAGTTGAACTTTGGAAGTTCCTGACAGTGTTCCTGAGATCTGAAACTGGCCTGCTAGGAGGAACTCTGTCTCAGATAGCTGCAGGGAGCAGTCAGCTACAGTGAAGCACACCTGTAATCCCAGCCCTCAGGAGGCTGAGACAGGTGAATCACAGGCTGGAAGTCAGTCTGGGCTACGCAGTGCGAGCCTTTCTCAAGAACAAACAGAATTCTAAGTGCTTCGTTGGGTACAGTCTGTTCTCTGTAGGACACACAGTTCTCCTTCAGATTGCTAGCAGATCCCACCTGTGGGACAAGTATTGATCTGGACAACACTGAAGTAGATGTGTGTAAGAATTCACAAATAACTTACTTGAACACTCACTAAAGTATCTACTGTGCTTCATAGCTTTGTTCTTTCTTATAAGTAACATGTGTTATACACAGATATTGGCCATGCTGATACAACGGTGCACACACAACAGAGCAGGCTAAGCTCACATGTGCAACAGGTTACCTAAGTTTCGTATCTGAGATTATATGTAGTGAACTGGAGCTCATTTGTCAAGTTATTTCCCATGGCATAAGTGGACCGCAGTGAGAGCTTTGGTCTCTTAAACTTCTATAAAGCACTTCAAAATTCTGTGTACAAATCAAAGATCGTATTGAAGCCTCAGACATCATGTGGGACATAACAGCAAATCAGGCCTGAGAAATGTACCAGGTGTAGATGCTGAGCCCTCACATTTTTAGGGGTCCACATAATGCAAGGAAACAAGCACAGAAAGAAAGCTAAGCATAAACTCTGACTCGGTTGAACTTCTGTGAGCAACTAATCTACCCTGACTTATATTTCCTCTTTAGGAAAGGTGCAGCAGTTAGGATGTGCCAGCACTAAACTGCTCTCAGCACTCTCCCTCCAGTAATAAGTGTCCTGGTACCTTCAAAGCACGGGGAAGAGAACCTAGCCTAATGCAGAATTGGTCAAAGAGGGTGTCACAGAAAATATGAATGAATAAAAATGGACACCGGACATGCTCCATATTACCAGTGTTAATGATGTTAAATATTAACACTTTAAAACCAAGACAAAATGGTATTTCATTGTGCCAAACATCTACGTGTTTGAAAATGTCAATATATATATATGTATATATATACATATATATATATACAAGTATATATGTATATTCTGTTTCAAAATGTTGTATTTTCATGTACTCCACAGCTTAGGAGAGGCTCCAGAGAAATTACAATGCTACTTAGTGCCTGGAGAGGCTCAGACAGAAGTCCTGAGGCTGGCTGATGCAAAGCAGAGTAGTCTCTGGAAGTCCATGTATGTCCCAGTCATCTTGAAGCCTAGCCATTTGAAAAGATACTTGCTTAGCAAAGACTCGGGCCTGCCAATCTGCAGAGGATGGACAGGTGGTCATCCACGGGTTGGGGAATTTCACCTCCTCTTAAGAGAAGTGGCTCTCCAAGAAGTCATAAGGGTGGAGCCTGAGCCCAGCTCATAAAGACCCAGAAAGGCCTGCTTCTGGTTCTTCTCCAGGGCCAACATGGTTTCCATGGCATTCTAGATTTTACTGCAGCCATCTTGAGACAGCGTCTGCACATCCTGGGACAGTGCGTGGGGCTGTTTTTGTCTCTTCCGTACACACTGACTGCTCTCCCTCATGCTTCTTTTCAGCCAGCTCAGGGAGCAAGTGGCTTACTGCAGAGCTATGTGGCCCAGGAAAGATGGTATACGTAGGAGACCCACAGGGCACAATGACGAGGATGGTGAACGCAGACTCCACCTGGCTAGAGCATCTGACAAGCCTGGTAAGTCCCAGCAGGTTAACAACGTGGAGATAAAGGGCAAAAGATGTTGGCTGGTCCTGAAGTCTGAGACACAGCAGATAATCTTGGAGGCTGTGAGGAGACCGGAAAGCTGTTTAAAGTTTAAAAGGAGAGAGCCCTGCGGTATGTTCCACACAAACAGCGCTGAAGCAAAGGGGGTGGACTTAGGGGACCTCATGTGTGCTCCTCAGAGCTACTTTCAATAACTATGCAGCATTAGCTGATGTACGTGTTCTACAAAGCAAGCTGCTGGATCTAAAGAACAGTTCTCAATAAAGGTGCTATGATGATGATTAATTACAGTTAGTATGTTTCAATCCCCTCATCTGACAACTATTGAGTTAGTAGGTCAGTCACACTATTTTTTTAATGTTCATTAGTGTTCTCTCTAAAACCTGTGTTATTTATATCCCCAGTTTACAGAGAAAAAAATTCTGTAACTTGCTCAAAATCATTCAGGAAAAAATGAGAGACTCCATCTTAAATATGTTCCAATCTAAAGAATGGTATTGTCACTGTGATGTTCCTGATATTCTATATTACTAAATTCAAAAATTTATAAAATTGTAGAATATGGCTCCTACTCAAAACAGCAAGGAACTTATAATATACCCATCAGATTGTAATGGTACTTTATGGGACTTTCATTGGGACTAGCTATAGGGCTTTATGGACTCAAAAATTGGAACCTGACTGCTGCAATTAGTTGTTCAGAATAAAAGCCAGGCTTGAAAGTCCTTCTTTGCATTGAATTTCAAATGTTCCACTTTGAATGAAACAGATGTTGAACTTTAGATTAGTTCAATCTGTGCTAGATTTATCCTGTGCACACAGTAAGATAGCACTAACATGGGCACTTACGTTCCTTTCTCTTTAGGGACACCTTTCCCCAGACCAGATTCATCTGCAATTTAAACTAGGTCTTTTCAAAGAAATAGGAGATTTTAGTTAAAAGCAGAAGAATTAGTTCAGTGGGTCTGAGCAATGGTCCGTCCAATATTCTGTCTATTCTAGGAGCATAAAGGGGCATGTCATAAGAAATTCAAAAGATTAGGGGTGTACTGGAGACTTCATGACATTTCTTGTCATCTGTGAATTTAGATTAATCTTTCTTAAGGTCTGTATTTTAGGTTTTCATGATACAAAGTGCTAATAATACACCACACTTTGAATAAACTAACACAGGAAACACCTTGGATTTGTAGATTCAAGAGCTGTCATCACAAATATCTATAGTGTTATCTGAAATGGGTTTGGCTCCTTTTTTCTCCTTAGGTTGTGTCCAACCCGGGATCACCATAGAACTCTTATTATCTGTTTAAAACAATATTAGCAACTGGTTATTAAATATGTAAGCATCAAGCTAGTACTGTCTCTTGTTATAAAGATGACAGTTGAGTATAATTTTCTTTTTAAAATATATCACCTTTAAAGCCTGGTGGTAGCCTGCATTTGTAATTCTAGCACACAGGAAGCAGAGGCAGATGGATTGTTGTAAGTTCAAAGATAGCCTGGTGTACATAGTAAGTTTCAGGCTCGACAGGATTGTAAAGTGGTAATCTGTTTCAACTGAAAAAAAAATGAGAATAAAGCAAAAGAAGTTTAGGACATTGGAAGGTACTGGGTATGCTTTGGGCAGAGTGCAATATTCTCAAAATGATAAAATATAATCTGAAGGAACATAGTTGCTGGGACTTGTATGCAGCCTAAGAAAGTGTTCTGATTGCATAAATGTGTTATATCACCTGAGCTAATTGTGGATTCCAAATCACAATTTCTGTCTGTTTTATGACCTTTACACCAAAACACACACCTTTAAATCAATGTGGAAAATTGGAATATATCACTAGGAACAACGAACATCTTCTGAAAATACTTTAAGCTCCTGGCTGGAGAAGAGATGCTTCTTCTCCTCTTTATGCATCTCAGATGTACCTGGCTCAAGGTCTAAGAGGCTCAGCCTTTTCCTGAAAAGGCTGGATAAGAAGGGTTATTTTGTTTGTTTGTTTTGGAGGGATTATAGAAAGAAATTTTGTTTTGTTTTGTTTTTAAAAGTCTACAGTAGCAAGAAAGCATTTAAGTGCATTGTTCATTTTAATCTCCCTGAGAACATCAATAGTTTTTTTGTTTTTGTTTTTGTTTGTTTGTTTGTTTGGTTGGTTGGTTGGCTTTTTTGAGACAGGGTATCTCTGTGTAGTTTTGGTGCCTGTCCTGGATCTCCCTCTGTAAACCAGGCTGGCCGCGAACTCACAGAGATCTGCCTGGCTCTGCCTCCCGAGTGCTGGGATTAAAGGCGTGCACCACTGCTGCCTGGAATCAACCAATAGATTTTTAAGTGCAATACTGACATTTAGTGAAAGTTTAAAAAGTTTGGCAGTGAATCTTTGACAAGAGCTAATCTATTTTCACACTGTCATTTTATTACACCCATTCTTTATGGCTCATAACTGAAATATATAAACAATATTCTAAAAACATTTGAACAACTCTGTAAAGAGTTTGTGAGTGTAGACAAGCAAAACTTACTAGTAGCGAGTGGAGGGATTTGATGGAGACTTCCAATTTAGACTCTCTCTCCAAACAATGTCTGACTGTGGGTCTCTGCATCTGCTCCTGTCTGCTGCCAGAAGAAGTGTTTCTGGTGATAACTAGATAAGGCACTGCTCTTTGAGTACAGCAGTGCACCATTAGGAGTTATTTTACAGATTTTTTAAACCACAGGTCTCTGGGTGACCTAGTCGCTGGCCCTTGCTTACCCAAGCAGTGACAGGTATGGGTTCCTTCTTGTGGAAGCCATACATTGGTTGGCTACTCCCACAAGTTTTGTGACACCATTACCCCAGAATATTTTGAAGGCAAGACAGATTGTAGGTCAAAGGTTTTGTAAATGGGTTGGGGTTCACATTTGTCTTTTGGTAGCTTGCAGAGCACCTTCCCACACCAAAAAAACTAGAACATAGGGGTAAAGGCTTTATGTTGGCACCAGATCGACTTCTCCATGTTCAATGAGTTGTATGGATATTGTCCTCAGCAATGGAGTCCTGCTGTCAGTTTGTGGAGAGCAACCATTTGTCTTAGCATAAGCCTGGGTTGTTCGGTGATTTCCACGGGACTCACCTTAGCCAACAACTCAATTGAATGCAATCCAGTCCCGCCACTGGAAGACTCACTTGACTACAAGAAATGGTCTGTTGAGACCGTGCATCCCTCATTACTAGAAGTCATTATTATAATCACCTTCACAGATCCCAGGAAGTTTCCTCTGCACTAGGTTTCCACACCACCCCTAAATGCCCTGCCCCCAATAATAGCCATCTCGCCTCGGATTATTTACCTCATCACTTCTCCCCACCACATACCTGATTCCTCATGCTCCCATTCCACCCTGCCCCCATTCCTCCCATAAAATGTATTCTATTTCTTCCTTCCCAGGGAGATCCATGTGTCTGCCCTAGATCCCTACTCTTCACCTAACAACTCTAGGTCTACAGATTGCAGCATAGTTATCATTTACTTAACAGCTAAAATCCACTTATAACTGAATATACATACTGTATTTGTCCTTCTGGGTCTGGGTTACCTCACTCAGGATGATTTTTTTCTAGTTCCATCCATTATCCTGAAAATTCCAGGATGCTACTTTAAAAAAAAAAAAAAAACAAAAAACAAAAAAACTGAGTAATACTCCATGTGTAAATGTACCACATTTTCTTTACCCATTCTTCTGTTGAGGACATCTGGGTTGTTTCCAGTTTCTGGCTATTATGAATAGAGCAGTAATGAACATGGCTGAGTAGTGTCCTTATGATAGGATGGAGCATCTTTTGGTTATATGCACAAGAGAGTTATAGCTAAGTTTTGACGTAGATTGAGCCCCAACTTTCTGAGGAACTATCATACTGATTTCCATAGTGACTGTACCATTTTGTCCTCCCACCATTAAAAGAGGAGTGTTCCCCTTCTGGCTTCTTTATAAAAAAAAAAAATCAGGTATCCATAGGTGTATGGATTTATATTTAGGTCTTCAATTCAATTGCATTGATCAATGTGTCTGTTTTTATGTCAATACCATGCAGTTTTTATTACTATAGCTCTGAAGTACAGCTTGAAATCAGGGGTGGTGATACCTCCAGAAGTTCTTTTATTATTCAGGATTATTTTAGTTATCCTGGGGTTTTTTGTCAAGTTGAGAATTGTTCTTTCAAGATCTGTAAAGAATTGTGTTGGAATTTTTGATGGGGATTTTGTTGAATCGGTAGATTGCTTTTGGTAAGATGGTCATTTCTACTATCTTAACCCTACTAATCCATAAACATGGAAGAACTGTCCATCTTCTGATATTTTCTTTAATTTCTTTCCTCAAAGACTTGAAGTTTTTGTCACACAAGTCTTTCACTTGCTTGGTTAGAGTTACCCAAAGATATTTTATATTATTTTAGGCTATTGTGAAAGGTTTTGTTTCCCTGATTTCTTTCTCATTTGTCATTTTGTGTTTAGGAGGACTACTGAATTTTTGAGTTAGCCTTGTATCCAGCCACTTTGCTGAAAGTGTTTATCAGCTGTAGGAGTTCCCTCATGGAATGTTTAGGGTCACTTATGTATATACTATCATATCATCTACTAATAATAATATTTTGACTTCTTCCTTTTCAGTTTGTATCCCCTTGATCTCCTTCAGTTGGTTTATTGCTGTAGCTAAAATTTCAAGTACTATATTGAACAGATATGGAGAGAATGGACAGCCTTGTCTTGTTTCTGATTTTAGTGGGAATGCTTTGAAGTTCTTTCCATTTGAGTTGATGTTGTCTATAGGCTTGCTGTAAATTGCCTTTATTACATTTAGGTATGTCTCTTGTATCCCTAATCTCTCCAGGACTTTTATGATGGAGTGTTGGATTTTGTCAAAGGCCTCCTCTGCATCTAATGAGATGAACATGTGGTTTTTTTCTTTAGATTGTTTATATGGTGGATTACATTGACAG